TCTTTTCCTTTTTTTGTTTTGTTTTTTTTTTTTTGATTTAGCTTGCTTTCTTGTTGCTTTTCTTAATTAGCTTTCAAAAATCATCGCTGATATGATATCGTATGCCTTGTCCTTGCTTTTGAGAATTTGTAGTCAATGTTTTACATCTTTTAATCTATTAGATGGTAAAAATATTTTGTGATTGTGTCTCCATCTCTAACCTATTTTAGTGGCATAGTTTTCTTTTCTAATCAAAAATCTATTTCAAATTAAAGACTGTGTATGAAATTAAGATCTTTTCTAAACTTACTTAAGTAAATCTATCTTGTATTTATAATGCTAAAAGTTTTTTTGTCACATCAAGATTCCTCGTTACTCTTGTCATTGGTTATTGATTCTGTTTTATGGATAGTTCTTCTCTATGTTAGAGAGAGAGCACATATTCTCTAATATCTAGAATATATACTCACAACTAAGAAGTCTTTTTTAAGAGATTGAAAATGAAAATTTAGCTTGCAAAAAAAAAATGACCAATGACGCCAAATTGAAAAGAAAAAGTATATACACAAATGTGTATCAAAAATCAAGATGCTCAATGAGCCAATCAAATTGACAAGAGGCATAAAATGAGCCCACTAAAAGGCAAGCTATTCTCTCTTTTCAAATCTTTCAGGTCTATGAACTATATTTTGATGATTGGAAAACACTCTTACTTGTCTTGGACTGTCTTTTACTACTGACTTTCCAGGAATCAAAGATCGGACGGAAAAATGGAGCCAGCTCAAGATGGGGTAGATTATGGTTGAGTTAGTCTGTAATTTTATTTTTCTATTCTTGAGTCAATTGTAATCTTTGGTGTGACTGATGCAAAGTAACCCTACACATACACACTTGAGAGACTTAGAATTTCTATTTTTACTCAAATCGGCCAGGACGATATTTACATCGTCCTGGACGATCGGGCTTAAAACAAAAAATCTAATCAGGGGTTCTTAATTAAGGCAGCCGTCATTATCCAATCCGCTGGGACGATACTTATATCGGCCTGGACGATAAGCTCAAAATAGAAAGAAATTGCCGCCATAAATAATTAAGATATTCTGTATATTTGGCAATCGGCCAGGACGATTCTGGATCATCCTAGACGATATTCACAATTATGCCTTAATTGATCAGGCAATCAAGGAAATAATTAAGGATGATTGATATGATCACATCGTCCTGGACGATCGCAGGATCGGCTAGGACGATCGCAGGATCGGCTAGGACGATCTATTCTAAAATCTTTAGTTACTTCTAGATGATAAATATCGGTCAGTACAAATTCAGGGCGATGTGCTGGATGATCTGGATCGAACAGTTTGAATTCAGAGCGATGCTCTGGACGATTTTCCTCTGATTTGAACTGATCGGCCGGGACGATCGTGAGATCGTCCTGGTTGATCAAGCCAATTTTCAATCGTCCAGTTTGCATTTAGGGCGATGCTCTGGCCGATCTCATGGGATTTGTACTGATCGGCCAGGACGATTTCTATATCGTCCTGGACGATATAGTTGGCAACTTGTAATTAATGAGCTCCTTTGAAGCTCTTCTATTTAAGAGCTCTTGTTCAACTTTTTTGATACATTGCCTG